CTCTTAGGAGCTGCATTAAAATTAGAAGCTGAAGCTGTAGCGATAGGGGAGACACTTTACCTTCTCTCCTATCACACACTGTAGGACAGCCTGCTCTGTCCACATCAAGGGCATTATTTGGTATTCCCATTCTCAGGAATGTGTTTTTGATAGGCACAACCTATCTAAAATCTGACAAAGTTGTAAAATCTGGGGAAAACAACTTTCAGTTACTGCCACTCTTCATTTATGGTGCCAATCCATTAAAATTACACACTCACGTAAACTCCCTGTGGAAAAACTATCACTGAACTATTAATAAAATCTTCCTGAACTATTAATACAATCTGTGGGAGCTTTAAGCCACCACAGGGCTGATTATGTAAGTGCACAGGCACAAAGATGCTGTTTTTATCCTCAGTTTAAATGACCTTTCATTTTCATTAGTTTTGTTTCTGAATGAAGTCTTCCTGAATCTAAGGGAAACTATTTTTTTCAAAGGGGACTATGCTTTGATTTGCAGTAAACTGGCAAGTAGGGTTGAGCTTAAAATGCATTTGATTGGCAAGATGTGTGTTTGCTCTTTTGATTTGTGACAGGATTTTTAAATCTGTGACACAAAACCTAGAAATATGCTATAATTTAGTTTTTGCTCCTAGATCATTAGCCTATGAGGCAAATTTATGCAGTTCAGAAAGACGACTGACCATGATCATCAGGTTGGATTTATTCCTAATTTTGGTATTCCGCAGGTAGCTTTGCTTTTCTCACACATCTCAGTGTGAGGAGATGTTGGAAGATCATCTTGATTTTTACTTTTCAGGCAGTTCAGAACAACACCACTGTAAAAGGTTTCTGATGTTTACTCATGACAAAAGAAATAGATGTTATGAAGGCAAGAACAGGAAGAAATAATGAAAAATGGGTGTCTCTCATTCACCTCCTAAGCTATTGCTCCTGAGCTGTTTAACAGGACATTATGTACTGGGAGGCTTCAGTCCCAGACTCAGTTCAGAAATTCCCTTGCGCAGGATGTCTGAGCAGAGAAGGGAAACTATGATCTCTGTAACATTTTGCTTGGATCTGCAAGCTTGAGGGTTCTCCAATCTGAAATAAAATATGTATTGAGGCCTGTACTGGATTTAGGGATGCCTGTGACAGCTCCACTGTGGCACTCAAGTGTTGATTTCTTTGAGCATAGGAAGGGAATAACTGAAAACAGTAAAGAAACAAATATATAAAGTCAAAAAAAAGACAAATCAGGCAAAAGAATAGTCCCATCTATGGCACAAGTTACATTAAATCAACAGGAACAACTAAAACTCTGTGTTTGGACAATTTTCAATATCTATGTTAGCCTACACTGCTTTGGGAAGGTGCCAGTGCAGCATAGTTAGATATAGTCCTTGCTTTAGTTCACTTTAGGTCCCAGCGAAGAAGAACTGATCTGGTACTGGCATGATCTAGCTGCCCAAGAAGGTATTTGGAGTCCTTTCACTGTTTCTTTTCTACTGCTGAGTAGAAGTTGGCTAGATTAGCACTGGGTTGGATGTATTTCTTCATGCTGCCATTTCACCTCTGAGCAACATCAAATCATAGAATCAACTAGGTTGGAAAAGACCTTTAAGATCATCAAGCCCAACCATTACCATGCTAGTATGCCCAGCCTGTTTTTCAGAGAAAATGACAGTAGTGCCCACAAATAATTAAAGCAATTCCTTCGTGCTAGATTTTATATATGCCATTGGAATAAAATGTAAATATATCCTCAGGATTGGGTATTTTTAACAAGGAATCAGGTTAAGGGAAGGCTCCATGATCCCAGGGTCCTTTTCACAGTAGGCTCCAAAAAATGTACCTCATTATAAAATACACCTTCCCAAGGAATCACAAGACATGAAAAATCAAAAGAGAATTCCTAAAAGCAAAAGCTCTCCAGCAGAAAATCAATTTCAGCTACTTTCACCTTGCCCCAGGGAAAGCAGCAAAGACACTAAGTGGGGTGTGGGAAATGTCTCATACATCTTCCTGGAACTGCACAAGGCAGACCTCCAGACGGGAGCTTTTCTTTCCAAGACAGCTCTGCTCTAATTAGGGACTTGTGCAAAATTGGTATGTTGCAGTTCCAAACAGTGTCTGGATGATTCCCAGATCAAATTTCTTTGGTTTAAAAAAAAAAAAGAGAAAAAATTGTCTTTGTCCTTGTTCTAATTGACAGCCTTACAGATGCAGGTGGACTGAGGGATGAAGGTCAGATTGAGTTTATTGTGCCTAATAGGGCAGGGAACAAAAATCAGCAGAAAGCTGCACACACAAAAAAAACCCTGTTATTTGGTGGTTGTTTTTTTTTTCCCTGGCCATCATGTTCCCTTTCAAGGGTATTTGTGCATTTTCGGGTGTACCTTCAGAATGAAAAGAAAGTAATTGCCTTTAAATAGAATGTTTATATGAGGGACTTCCATGTAACAATTAATCTACTGATGTACCAGACGGAATCTAGTTTATGGACTAAACAATCTATGTTGGGTGGACATAAAATTAATTTTCTATATAGGAAAGTACATCCTGTTCCTTAGTTGACCTTTTGCAGAGGCTGTATGACAGTTTAAACCTCTGGCTGCTTCCTATAATTCTTAGCATTCAGACCTTTCTGGGTAATGTGCTATCATTAGGCTGGTCTACATGTTCTAAAGACAATCCCCACATTCCCCCTTGGAAATGAAGTTTGACTGACGCTTCTAACTGAAGACTGTGATTAGTATCACCTGTGCATTCCAGTGAGAATGCAAAACAATTTTTCTTTATAAATCTCTTTGTCTTAAAGTTTTTCCCCTGCTTCCCATCTCTCACTTCTTTACTCTCCTTTGCTTCAGACTCAGACTTGTCTTCCTCACTGACCTAAGCTGCTATGGTACAGCTTGGGACAGCTGTGGCAGCTCAGCCCCAAAATGGAGTCCAGAACTTCTCCCTTAGCGATGCAGCTTGTGGGATGGCAGCCAGCTTGACAAATATAGAATTGAAAATTTAAAAAAAGGCAAATATGGAACATTCCAATAGTTCTTAATTATTTTTTTCTCTTGGAATTTTCTGTGAAAAGCTTCAGATCTTCAAATTTTCATTCCCATGTAGGAGGAAAGATGTGAATTTTGCATGACTTGGGCATTTTTGGCTCTAGTCTGCTCTAAACCCCAATTCTAGGTTATCAGAGGGTAGAAAATCACTTTGGGCTTCACACTTCTGTTGGTCAGTGTTTTTTTCTAGGTAGTCTCAGACTTCTTCCAGTTGTTTCTCAGCACAGCCCAGCTGAAGTCACTGCAACCTGCAGCACTGCAGCAGTTTGTGTCACTCAGAGTTGCATCCCTAAACTCTAATGAATATTGCAGCAGCAATGGAAATACAGTCATCTTTACTGTGAGTGAACACCTCAACAGAGCACATACCACCTTCAAAAAGCTAAGTTCATTGTTTATTGAGATTTAAACTGCGATCACTTGTTACGCTGTTCGGCACCCTACCTGCTGGCTCGGCTACCCACTAGTCTTGCACAGAGCATCCAGTATTAAGATTCGTAACGATTTCAGGTCAGCTGATGTATCTAAGGTGTGTCTTATACTACTGTATAGCAGAAGAAAAAAGTATCGCTTAATGTCTGTGGCCACTCACAAGCATTACCGAAGTATGGTTTAAGATGACTGCCAGGGCAATCCATGGCCAGTGCCAAAGAGCACGGTAAGTCCTGCTAAACTGTGCAGGGTGGCAGGAGGTGGTGGGACACCTACACAGGTGTGAAATCTGGGGGAAAAAATGACCTTGAAGCAGAGCAGGATCTATACCAAGAAAGTGTATAGGGGGATTCTCCATATCGTCTTACAAATCCACATCCTCACCAGCTGTGTTCAATCTCTGATGCTCCAGAGGAAGGTAAGAGAAAGCCCCAGGATGCCCTATGCTAATTGTGGGGGGAATGAACCTGCCTGAGTCCCACAGCCAAGGTCCTGAAGGACGAGACCTGATTATGCCCTGTCTTTCCATTCTGAGCCATGGGGTTTAGAAGCACACACAGGATGAGGACGGCCTCCTCAGGATCTCCCTTCACGAGGGAGAGACAGGTACCTCTCCTCTCACTGGAAGCAGATTTGCACACAGGAGCAGTGGTCGTCCCCCATTTATGCAATGTGAAAAAATCGTGGGCTCTTCCCTGCCTGCCTGACATTTGTTAGATGAGAGTGTAGGTACAAAATACCCATCACAGTATACAATAACCTTTGAAGACACGCCAGCAACCTCCTCTTTTATTAAAGTGTGCCAGGCTGGCTGAGTTGAGTAAGACACTTATTGCAAACACCTCCCCGCGGGACACTACCTGCATGCTAATGCCGAGGGTGTTTGTGCACAGCCCGGCAGCGAGAGCTGGGCAACGGCAGTTTCCATGGTGCTGTCATGGTGTGCTCTCCCCACACCTTCACTTGTCAGCATTTCCCACCCATCCTCCTCTCCATAATATGCTGCTTGCTCACCCCGAAAGGTCAGCCATTGTAATGATGATTTTAGCAGGGGGGAGGCAGGGAGGCTGAGGGGTGAAAAGGTGAGCTGTGTGCAGCTATGTGCGTGGGAACCAGGGCTTGCCTTACGCTGCACAATGAGAAATTAGAAAGCTTCCCTTCAAGGAAGCGGGGCTCATCAACCCCCTCTCTCTTCCCATCCCAGCCAAGTCTGATGCCCTTGATGGAGTTAAAAGATGATCACATGAAGTGGCAGGAAAACCTACTTTAAATCATCAGCAACTGATGTGTTAGTGTGTGAAGGGGAGAAGAGACTGCCTCTGCTAACAGAGGAGACTGATACAAACATTTCTAGGCATCTTTCTGTTTCCATTTCCCTCCTGCCTCCTCCCAGTAAGCCCAGTTCTTGTTTGCAGATGGAAAGAGGCAGGCTTCTTCCTCTGACTCCCATCCTATTGACTGCTGGACTAAAGCACTGCATCTACTAACTGCCTTCCTTTTATTTCTTTCTTCCTGTAGGACAGCTTTCCTGCCCGTTTTGGAGGAGTCCATTTTGTCAACCAGCCCTGGTACATCCATGCCCTGTACACGTTAATCAAGCCGTTCCTCAAAGACAAGACAAGGAAAAGGGTAATTAGACAGGGATGGGGGGTAGGAAGCTGCAGTGGCAAAGTAGCCTTGTAGCTGCCTATCTTTTCTTTGCTCTTTTTCTCTCTGCATTTTTCATATGGCCTCAGAGAATTGCTGCTGTTATTAAAACTTGGAGTTTGCAGTGGTCTGGATTGAATCAATAACTCAGCTAGAGAACAGAAAGCTGTTATCACTAACAAAGTGTAGATACGTTTTAATGGGACATGCTCAGGGATAGAGAGAATAGGCAATGTGGAGGAATTATCAGGCCTGGCTGAGGTCACTTGCAGCGAGGCAACCTTCAGCTCAGCTCTTTTTGTGAGGGTAAAATTTCTTATTTCATTCCTTCAGCAAGTTGTCCGTTTTCACATGGTGAAAAGACACCTGAAGGCTGTTTGCTCACACTGCAGAAGAGGTAGGGCTTCCCCACTGAAACCCATGCAGTCATCTTAGCCATTTGACCTCTGAAGTCTATCAACCAAGCACTGGGTCACAGTATCACAGTATCACAGTATGTTAGAGATTGGAAGGGACCTCGAAAGATCATCTAGTCCAATCCCCCTGCCGGAGCAGGAACACCTAGATAATGTTACACAGGAATGCGTCCAGGCGGGTTTTGAATGTCTCCAGGGAAGGAGACTCCACAACCTCCCTGGGCAGCCTGTTCCAGTGTTCCGTCACCCTCACTGAGAAGAAGTTTCTTCTCAAGTTTAAGTGGAACCTCTTGTGTTCCAGTTTATACCCGTTACCCCTTGTCCTATCATTGTTTGCCACTGAGTAGAGCCTGGCTCCATCCTCGTGACACTCCCCCTTTATATATTTATAGACACTGATAAGGTCACCCCTCAGTCTCCTCTTCTCCAAACTATAGAGACCCAGCTCCCTCAGTCTTTCCTCATAAGGGAGATGTTCCACTCCCTTAATCATCTTTGTTGCCCTGCGCTGGACTCTCTCCAGCAGCTCCCTGTCCTTCTTGAACTGAGGGGCCCAGAACTGGACCCAATACTCCAGATGCGGTCTCACCAGGGCAGAGTAGAGGGGAAGGAGGACCTCTCTCGACCTACTAACCACCGCCCTTCTAATACACCCCAGGATGCCATTGGCCTTCTTAGCCACAAGGGCACAGTGTTGGCTCACGGTCATCCTGTTGTCCACTAGGACCCCCAGGTCCCTCTACCCTACACTGCTCTCTAACAGGTCGTTCCCCAACCTATACTGGAACCTGGGGTTGTTCCTGCCCAGATGCAGGACTCTACACTTTCCCTTGTTATATTTCATCAAGTTACTCCCTGCCCAACTCTCCAGCCTATCCAGGTCTCGCTGGATGGCAGCACCAGCTGGATGGTCATCCCTCAGGAAGCCTAGAACCTGCCCTGGGGTCTGTCTGACCAGGCAGGACAAGGGTAGTATCAGTCCAAAAGAAAAGATGGATCAGAGAGACAAATGTTGCTGAAGTAGTGCAAAGTGGCAACACAGCCTGGTACACCCCTGGGAAATGTCAGTCCTGGGGAGCAGGGCTGGATTGCCCTCTGGACACTGAATGCCTGCTCATCACATCTTCTTTCAGTAAGCTGCACTATATCCCTTTTCTTCTCACTGGTCTTGGTACAAGCCTCTATCTTCTTACAGTACCAATATGGTCATTATTACTGACTTTCACTTTCCCTGATCTGGTACTTAAGAAAGTGTCAGTGTCATGTGCCAAAAGCAAGTAGCTCAGGGTTTTCAGAAGTGTTTATAATGCCAGCCTAATTCCCCAGCTGCACGCCCCAAAGCTAATCTCCACCCTGCTCCCCACCCAAGCCAGCCCTGAGCACTTCAGGAATTCTCACCTGAAACTCCAGTGTCAACTAATGATGCTCCACACCTCATTAGTACTGTCGTTACTGTACTTAACGGAGTAAGAATCAATGATGACTTTGAATTTTCTTTTATCTAAGATCTTTCTTCATGGTAACAACCTGAACAGCCTTCACCAGCTAATACACCCTGAATGCCTGCCCTCTGAATTTGGGGGCACTCTTCCTCCATACGACATGGGGACATGGGCTCGAACGTTACTCGGTCCTGACTACAGTGATGAAAACGAGTATACTCACACCTCCTACAACGCCATGCATGTGAAGCATGCGTCCTCCAACCTGGAGCGGGAGGCCTCGCCCAAACCCATGAAAAGGTCAGTACTGCCTTTGAAATCGCCTCCTACACTGGCTTTCTGAGCTGATCTAGCATGAGTCTAGCAGGAAGGGCTCATCTGATTCAGAGAGAGGCTGTGATTTGGCAAGTGTTGACGGTAAGGAGCACTTCACCCTGGACTGCATTCATGGTGTGGTGGGAGAAGGGAAACCTCTCTGTGGAACCATAATTATTTCTCTGATTACTGTGCATGACAATGAGGGGAAATTAATGAGCCCCTCCACAGAGAATTACAGAAAGTATATCAGAGTGAGATGCTCTTTGGTACAGTATAGTGTGGCAGGCAGCATCACTTCAGTGCTGGTCCCTATTGCTTGCTGCTGCTGACCCCAGTTAACGACAAGGGTTTTACCTCATCGGAAATGTAGCTTTTATGCGATGAACACCACTGCCCTCTAAAGGGAAAATGGGTTAGTCTCCTCCCTCAGCTTCTGCTCCCTCTTTCTCAGCCCAGCCCTGCTAAAGCGCCAGAGCTGTTCTCTTAAGATCTCTGGGTTTACATCTAGTGGTTTTGCATTCACCTCTGAATGCTTAAAATTAAGCTTCTCGAGAGTATCACCCCCAGTAATTTGCATTGCTTGCAGGGATGGAGGGAGGAGGGTTGTATACTTGGCACAGGCTTGTGGGTGGTATGGCAGAGCACCATGTGCACCACCTGCAATGAGTGATGGCTGCGTTGCCTTCTCTGCAGGAGTGTAACATCTGTACTCACCTCACCCTCTGTGCCCCATTCTGCAAAACTGCTTTTCATGCAGATCGCAGTGATGCTTTCACTCACTGCTGCCACTTGATGAGTGTGGTGCTCAGAGACACAGCGTCACTCTGTGTGACAGGGAGCGGCCATCATTTTGACACAGCAAAATCAAAGCTGACAACACAGGCAAGCCATAATGCCACGCAATTAATTTTAAAAGTCTTTCATCTTCAGAGGAAAAAGAAATGCGCTCTTGATTCACAGTTCCTTCTCAGGTCAGAGGGGTGCCACGCTGCTGGAGCTGCAGAGTGAAGCCTTGTGCTGGAAACGCTCACAGGACTAACAGGGCCATGCAACTGCAGGGCTATGGCCCTTTGCAGGGTTGCAGCCATGGCACAAAGAGAGGTGGTGATCTACGTAGCAGTTCTCACTACTGACTGCCAGGCAAGACGGGAAGCCAGGCTGAATTTACAGAGCCGACCCCAGAGAGCTGATTTTAAACCAAGTTTGTTCTTAATTCTTTAAACATTAGCAGAGGAACACACTGAATGATTTTAGAAAGATGCAAATTAAATATTCCATTGTTACGAAAACGTGTATCAAAATCAGACAATTTATATAGTTTTATAGAAAGAAATCTACAGTTTCTAAAGCTCTAAGCTGTTCCTAACACAGGTACCCACAAGTGAATCCTTGCTGAGGATCAGATCCTTGGCTGTAAAGAAGGGACGATCTTATCGTATTCTCAGGAGAGAACCTCAGCTTGAAATTGAGTTCAGTGCCAGAAAACCCTGCCTTGAGGCAAAGCTTTCTTTTATAATCCGCTCACTAATACAAAAGTGCATTAATACAAATATGGCGAGAGGATGAATCTAATTTGTCATGTTGCCTCTGGGCAGACTAGGTCTAACTTTTAGCCTAATTTCGTTACTCGGCAGTTAAGTGAACCATCTGATCTTGTACCCTATGGTCATTACTAGCTCTTAGAGGTGAAAAGTTCACTGGTTCAACAGATTTTCTCCTATGAGTATTTGCTTTGATTCTTCTTCCCCTGAAATTACAGTTTGGCCTAATGAGGTAAAAGCCTATGCTTAAGAAGCCTAATTGTGTGCTTTATTAGATTTATTAGACCAGAGTTATCTCTAAGGCCTATTGAAAGGTCTACAGATTTCTAACAGCATTACCTGTCTTTATATATCTCCCCCCCTTGCCTCTTTAGACATCACAACAACAAGAGTCTCAGGCCATGGCTGAGATTCCTGGATACTCCAGGAAGGTTTACACTAGGCATAGGTGATTTCCTAGCACTAGTTTTCATCTCAAGTATAATTCCCTCACAAATGCCCTATGATTTTTTCCCTTATTAACGCGATTTTGCAGTTTCATTAAAAATCTCTCCTCCTCCACTCACAGACGTAAAAATCTTTACATGCTTGAGCAAATGTGGTAATTTTGTGCTTCTATGTTGAAATGTTTGGTTTAACAAAAAAAAGGTGTCTGACCTTTTCTTTGGCATTTTTGTTCCTCTGAAAGGGGTACATATATGAAGACTAAGCCTTCTTGGGTTTCTGTAATTTAAGGATGAAAAGGCTTGCTGAACAATTGTGGGTCTTCCCCTCTCTGACTTCCCAGGTATCACTGCAGGTTTACCTGCCCAGTAATTAGCTGCAGAGGCAGGTAGTGCTTATGAGAGGTGAATTTACCTCAGAGGCTGGGGGGGACAGTGGTTGTTCTTCTCCTTGACTTGAGGCACCATCCTGCTGTGTGACAAGGATCAGGGTTGGGGATTGCCCCTCCTGGCTCTGCATCCACTTGCTGTACAGCCATACAGGTATGTCCTTGCTAGAACTGCCACTGGACCAGTGCTGTGTTAAAGCTTTCTTAATGTTGGAGCTCAGTGCTGCTAAAATAGCTTAGCCTTGCACTATGACCACAGAGAAATGCCCTTGTTAAATGCAGTACTGCCATCCTACACTCAGAGACAAGTTCACCATGTGCACAAATACAGTGTCTAATGATTTTACTAGTGGAGATGCTGAGAAATCAAGACAGGTATTATAGATCTCGAACTAAAATGCCAGGAAAAGGACTACTTTCATGGCCACTTAATCTACGTTTGAAAACGAATGCAGAAGGGAGAAAGAGGGCGTTTTAAAGATGCGCCTGAGACCAAACTGAAGTCATCACCTGAAAGTTAAAATAAGTCTCCAAATACAAACCAGGAGAAAATGCAGCACCCAGCAGCAGTGGGAGGGAGTCAAGCTGGAACAAGTACGTGCCCATATTTTGGCTTCAGGACTGACAGCAGTGCTTTGGCTCCTGTCATCAGGGCAGATGCATATAAACTGAAACAGGTTCACCTGAGAGTTTTGAGGAGGCTGAGACGAGCAGAGAGCATATTTTTCCAGCAAGAAGCTATAGAACACAGTGGTTTATTCAGTCTCACAGAGCAAAGGCTGAAATGGATATGATCATTTTCTACAAATACAGGAAGGAATAAAAACTGGGGAGAGAGAACAGTTATTTGACAACCTAACGGATACATGAGTGAAAGGTCTGATATGAGGTGGCTACCACTGATCACGGGAGGCCACAGGAGACTTTGCCCCTCAAATTCTCATTAGATTCCAATTTCTGCTTCCCTTAACAGCAATGGAATCAAAACATTATCTTCTCCCCAACTACAGGCAGGGGTGTTTTTTCCCTGTGACTTGAAATAGCACAAGATTTGTTCTCAAAAAAGAGTCCTTGTTTACTTCAAAAAATGGAGGCATTGTAGATAGCGAACAGATTGAAAATTCTCTTAGAAAAAAACTAGAACTGACTCTAGTTAGCAACATGATCCTGTAAATCTTGAGATTTGACAAGTTTCTATAATATGGAAAATCTGTAATCAAAACCATTGCAACGGGCATTTTTCCACCAGTGGCCACATGAAGCTCCACTGAGGCAAAATCAAAACAGTGGAAATTGTACTCCCATCTACAGTATTATCACACACCCTGGGAAAAATCCCAGAACCCAAGTACTGTATGAACAGATGGGAAACAAAGCAAACCAGCTGATGACTCCACATAATGAGTCTTAATGGCCAGGGGAAAAAAACAACACAAAAGTGATAACAAAAATCCATTCAGAATGTATCTGTTTATTAAGATTCAGCTCAGTGAAGTTTGAAATGGGCCGGGTAATAAACATGCAAACCAGCATTAATACAGTAATAGTAAAGTTGGTTCAATCCAAGAGATTGGCCACATCCATTTGATATTCGTGGCAGCAGCAATGCAGCCATCACTTTCTCATCTTGGGCCCTGTCTTCTGAATGGTCTCCTTCCATGCAGGGAGCCTGTCACTTAGGAGCTGTGGGATTTCAGAGCAATGTAGATGGTGTGAAAATTCAGAGCACAGGGAAGAATATCACTTCCCTTTCAGCTGTGGCCAAACCTTCAGCGAGTCCTGATGGTCAGAAAGGGACCTTGGGTTGCTTTAGTCAAGAGGGAGCTGACATAAAAGCAAAACATTTGCCTGAGGCACTCACACTGGCTTTTGTTGACAAGCTGGTTTTTTTTTTGGAACAGCTGGAGGTTTTATCTGGATGTGCAGTGTAATGAATAGCTATGGTGGATGGCTGAGCATAGCAGTTAAAGAGTCAGAGACTGCTCTCAACATATCACTGTGCAATAGGGCTTAATCTTTTGGCCAGCCACAGTGGGAGAAGCATGACTGTAGCTATTTGGGTACCTAACCTCAGTGAGCGAGCATCCCTGATAGGAGGGATGGATTTAGTGAACAGAGAAGATATGAAGAAGCTCAGTTCTTTGAAGAGTTTCCTTTTTCCCTAGTATCACCCTACTCCTACACTTGGGTCCAGCAGCAGCAAGTAACCTGCAGTAGCACATTAGCTCCCTGTGACTTGCTTTCCCTTAGAATATCTGCCCTTCTGCAGCTGCATCTGGGTCACTTTTTGATATCTGAACTTGCAGTTCAAGTGACGAAGACTGTTCTCTGCCTTCACTTTTTCCCTGTGCAGTCACCAAGCACAGCCTGGGAGCTGAATGTTCCTTCTCTGCCCTCCCAGGTATCAAAAGAGTGCTTGCTTTTAAGCTGCTGCTGGTGCAAACAGATCTGAAAACCTGGTACAATTTAAAATTTCCCTGCAGAGAAAAGAGATTTTACCCAACAGTTACACATATGTTCTGGCCAAACAACCTGTGCTGTTTAATAAAATTTATTTAATCAAAGTCTAAATAAGAGTAACTTTAATCAAATTTAGGGTTCAAAATTAC